GTTTCTCGAAAAGAGTAGGGGTATAACCCCGGCGTCCTGGCCAAATTTCCCATTGGCCTTTACCAATCATGGCCTCCTAATAATCCCCATCTCTGAACTGGGTTCATCATTCTGCTCTCCTCCCCACTGATAGCTGATGTGTGGTGAGAGTACTGGTGCACTATGGCTGCCGTCGCATCATCCAGGCGGATGCTGCACATTGGTGGTGGAGGGGATCCCCATTACAGGTAAAGCTCTTTGAGTGGAGTGTCCAGAAAAGCGCTATATAAGTGTAAGCAATTATTATTATTATTATTACATGCATGAGGTAGATATAACACCACCTGACAATCAAAGCCCAATGGCAAAGCTTTGGTGAATTATGAGATATGTCTCCCACTTCTCAGTGATGCCAACTGTAACCTCTGGTGTAAAGGGCTTGTGGCTGAAAGAGCAGCACTCTCACTCACCCTTTCCGCTGTGCATGCTGTTTGACCAGCCTGTCCTGCGCGCACTGTCATAGGAAGGATCTGAAAAACAAAAGCAGAACCTTTCTGCTACATCTGGCCAAAGTTCTCATTCATCCTAAAGACAGTGCGAAGCATTCAAACAATTGTGTTTTCCCCTGTGCAGCTATTTAACTCATACTTTTAAGATAAGGCACACAACTTCCCTGCCTTACTTAAGGCCTGAGTACAATAAAGATTCTGAGCTCTTCAGATGGATGACTCAACTGCTTTTAGAAGACTCACCATGAGTCTTTAACTACTGTTAATGCCCCATCCTTACTGGGGCACTCTTACACCTCATAAAAAGGCAAGATAGAGTGAAAAAGTGGGATATATCTGCTCGCTGATTGCCCAGTAGCAAACATAGGCATAGCTCAGGAAAAAGGGGTGAAAATCATTTCATCATTGCTGAGCCAGGAAATAAAACCCACTGATGCTCATGTTTCAACACTTCTTTTGAGAAAAGACACTGTAGTTGCTTCCAGATCTACTGTATACAGTATTTGCCCCCATACCCGCTTTTCTGCCACCCCCACCCCCCCTCCCAGTGCAGCACTGCCTGGGCTTTTTTGAGGAACCAGATAACGGAAATGGAGCCAAGGCCAGGAGCTGTAACATGCCTGCCCCATTAGCATGGGCCACAAGCCTTCTCTATGGCTGGCTGTGTGGCACTGCTAAGGGCCTGGCACGCACAGCCCACAGAAAGAAAGGCTTTGCTGGCCAGGACGTCTCAGGAGCACAGCGCAATGTTAACACACACGCGCTATGTAGTGTTTCTTTTGCAGCTCCTTGTGAGTTCAACGCGGGGTAGTTATCAGCTGGATGCTAAGGCAGACTAGGAAGCTTGGCTCAAACCCTGTGCTAGCCCTTTAAAATAAAAGTTGCAGAACATAGGAAAGGTTAAAAAAGAGAGGCCATTTGACCCATCTCGCCTTTGGAATGTAGCTAAGGAGCTCATCCAGCTGTTTATTGAAAGAAAGGGGATCAGCTACAAAAACACGGTTGTCTAGATCCAGACTCCCAAAACGACACATTAATGCTTTAAACCCACAACCTTCTCCTTACGAGACCAGAGTGCTAACAAATTCTCTACTCTGCTGTTACTAAAAAGCTTGGAACAGGACCAATCTACCGTCAGACTCTTTATTTCTCCCCCATTAAAAACAATCTGGCCACCCATCTCTCAGTTGCTGCCACCAGTGACGTAATGAAAACACTCTGCCTTCTTGATGGTAGTCCGAGTAAGACTCACGCCAGCAATCTGCAGACGCGTTCACTTTAGAGAACGATCTATTCAGAGGGAGGAGAAACACAGCTCAACGTGCTGCATCGCTTTTTCCTTATCACATGATAGTTCTGATGTTCCTTGTTAAAATCCAAACAAATGTTATTTATTAAGTAAAGGGAGAAATTCACAACCTGACGCTGCTGGACGATTGTGAAACACAGGGTAATGAAGGCCTGTTTCTGCGGACTGGACAGGACCCAGCTTCCTAATCCAGGCCGAAAATGAAATGCGTTCTCGGAAGGGAGGCTGTTCGAACTCAGTGTTTAAAGGAAACCACCGTGCATTCTGAAGCACTCTCTCCGTTTCTGAGCTACTCTGTCTAGACCCCGCTGAAATCATGTCTGTCTGGTGGCAAAAGAGGCGAAGAGGCAGCAGACGGCGTCCTGCTCTGCTGTTCTGTTTTTCTTGAGTGGGCCCCAAGCTGCTCATGAATCCGTGGAGACACTGCCCTCTAGTGGCCACCTTTGAAAATCGACTTTCTGTGATGAGCCCAAAAAAAAAACGGGGGGTCAATTTTCATGACCCTGGATTTTTTTCAAGACGTTAAACAAGCAGTACTCCACATCCAACGGCTGGGCAGACCGCCTGACTTTCAAAGGCATGTTATGCGGCGCAGACATTTCAGCCAGAGCTGTTCCATCAGAAGGACTCACCTGAGTGACAGCAGGAAAACACACCTTGCTGTTTTCCAGCTGTTCTGTAAACACTGCTCAGGGTATTGGTTTAAAATGTTTTTGTTTGTTTTTTTATTTCCAACACATTCATAACTGCCCATCAGACCCTAAAAAACAAATTCAAAAGCTCTACACAGTATGAGAACTAAAAACTTAAGAAAATGACGGGCTTTTTCCAGTTACTTTCTTTCCCCCCACACTCCAAACAGGAGAGAAAGAAACACTCACTGATGTACTTCACTAAAAGAATAGAAAAAAGCCCCCCCCCGCCCTCCTCCGAATAAAAAAACACAAGCGGTCTGTTGTATTAATACACTTGGCTAAAAAGTGTACAGCGTTGAGCGTTCAGTTTCAGAACTGTGCTTCGAGCCAGCCCGATGAACGCTGATGGCTCTAAACACCAGTTTTTTTTAACATAATCATCCGCCATGAAGGAATGAAAAAAACCCAACAACTTTTTCGCGCTGCTTTCGTTATTTAATCATTTGGCCGTCATCTCCCTCTCTGTCTCAGGGGACGGCGGCGGGGCTGGAGGGCGGAGGCAGGCCGGCAGTAGGATCTGTCAGCTCTAATTCAGAGCCGGGGCAGTGCAAGGCCACAGCCCCAGAGCTGAGAGGGCTCCTCACAGAGCTGCGTTTCCTGCCGGCTTTGCCTGCAGACAACCTCTCTTTGTTTCGCCGGCTCTCTCTTTTTTTTTATTAAAAAAAACACACACACACACACACATGCACACACACACACAACGACAGCCTCATTCCAAGAGAGGGGTCACGGAGGAAAAGAAGAAAAAAAATCCCCAGGCAGACGAAACAGAACTTTGGAATTTGAAAAGAAAACAATTACTATAGGTCCCGCTACTGTCTGATAGTAGACGTCCATGCCAATATCTTGAGCGGATAAGATTTACAGAACAGAGCACAGCCATTAATGTAGCATACGAAGAAATGCTGAATCTTGCTGACTTGGCAAACCGGTGTTCTTAATCAAACATGTTAAATGCAGACTGTGCAACAGCTTAGGAAATGCAAACATAAAGCAGAGCTCCGTTAAGCCACATCGAGGTAAAGCAGCAGCAGGAGAAAAGAACGATGCCAAGCGATATCGTGCACGAGCAACGGAAATGCATCAGGAAGGTGGGCAGGGCCTGCAAATCCATTTTTCACCTTTGAAGCACTAAAACTCACTTCTGTTTCAGCACAGGAGTGTTCAGCTAACCCTCACAGGAACTGAGCATTACCAGCATCCCGGTTCTGAACACTCTAAAGAAGGAAAAGAGCAACATTGTGTGGGAAAGAAAAGGTCCCCTATTAAAGACTGGACTCATCTGGCTTTGTGCAGGGCAGACACCTGAAGATACTAAAATCAACAGATCAATTCCTTGTTAGAGAACGGAATCACAGAGCATGTGCCATTCATTAACTCCCAAACAGGTTCCAGCAATTATGTCAAATCACAGTTGAATTCCATTATAAGGAATAAATTGGGCATTTTTTTTTCAACTGAGATAATCCCTGAATTGTATGAAAGTTAAACTCGCTCAAATTAAATTAAACCCTTGGCTGAATAAGTTTGTTTTTCAACTGATTAAATAATGAGGATACAGCACCTCGTATAGCAAAGCAAGTTAATCCCCAGTTTCAGATTCTGCCAAAGGTGTCCACACTGACTACACACGTGAATGGGGGTTCTGATGCCAGTTTTATATTGTTAGCATCTTTTCATTGAAGCCCAAAGAGCCAGGCCTGAGCAAACAACCTGGTTATTACACTGCGAACCAAAAATCCCATTTTAATGAAACATAGCGGTTCTTTTATTAATGAAATCTAGCAAAAGCCTGGTTTTTGTTAGGCTTTTTTTGGTCAGGAAGATGGTTTGATTTTCTTTCTATTCTTTTTCGTTCGGCTTGGGGGGGATGATGATTAAATCAGGGGACGTATCCCACTGTTTTCCGAGTTCAAACGGCGTGGTATCTGCAAAAAAGGTAGGAGCCAAGCAAAAGATTGAATCCCTAATGTAATCTTATCCAGTGCGCCCATTAGGGCTAATTGAATTAATAGGAGAAAATATCATGACCTTCCAAAGCTTCTGTGGTCTGAGGACGATAACTCGCTCTCTTGCCTCTTATCAGGACTTCCTATTATCCAGCCCCACCTAGATAGGCTCTCTTTGTGCTGGCACACCCAGATCTGGACCTATCGCTGTTATTGCAGTCCCCTGCTCTCTGCCCCACTGCTGCGAACGTCTCCTCCCTTGTTCTCTTCCAGCACAGCCGATCCCAGTCCAGAGCTGTGATTCAGGACAGCTTTCCAGATTGACAGGGCAATAATATCTCTTCCTTGCAGGAGCGATGGGGGGGAAACCCCTCCACCTCCCCCCTGGTCATATCTGGTACATGTCTGATCTTCACGTTGCTTTAATCTGTCGAAAACTGTACTCCCACCCCGCACCGCCATTTCACAAGCCTGAGACCCATCCGGACAGATGTCAGTCCATGTTAGCCGGGCTTACTGACCGCCTGCTTCGACAACGTCCGTACGGGGGACAACGTGCGACTCAGACCAGAGAGACCGACGCGTGCGCTAACGGACGTCCTGATCCGAGGGGCTGTGAGCAGGGGAGCTGCGTGAGCATGTGTTGGCAGAGGTTAAGCCCAACGCTGGAAGGGGGACAAGAGAGACACAGCGTTTCGGTTGCCGCGCGGAGGGCTTGTGAGGCGCTGGTCACACCTGAAGAAAAACAGCCGAGCAGCCGGAAACGCTGTGTTCCTTTGTTCTGTTTTTTTTTTCAGCGGGGAACTGCGCTGTCCTTTGTCCTGTCCTGATCTGAGCACAGGCATGGTTTTCACGCTAAACGCCTGGTGGTCTACAACGAAACCCAGAAAGAATGATTCCAAGAAATGACGGCCGGAGCCGCCATTTTGATTTTTGAAGACGCACCCCCCCCCCATCCTAGTTCCCAAAACACCGGCAGACTACGCTACAGGTTACACTAACGTCACTCTCGAATGGCCTCCCACCCCCTCTTTTCATCCTTACCCCCAACCCCCATGCTCTCCCGTCGTTCCAGAATTCATTTAGAAAAACAATGAAGTGAGCGTCTCTCTGCTTTTGTGCCACATACCACCTGTCTCTTCTGTGGCCCCCTGTGGGGGGGGGGGGCTTTCAAAACGACCTGAGAATGAGATCCTCTCGCTCGCTTCAGCCCTGTTTAAATAAATTTCCACCCATTTCCCCCCCCCACCAGTGCAGTGTGCCATTAGAGGACTCCTGCAGCCTTTTGTCTTGCTAATGCAGTGGCAGTGTGTTTGCGTTTCAGCAGCCCGCGTTCAGGTAGGAGCAAGTGAGCCTGAATGGGAGACTGGAGTGGCCAAGTCATTATTTCCCTTACAAAGGATGCACCTGCCAATTGGTCTGTTTAAACTAATATCTGCCTCCGTTTGCCAGCAGAAAACAAGGAATTTTGGCAGCCCTCAAAGATTCGGGATGAAGCATCCTCTCTTATTTCAACGAAATTTGCTTTCATTTGACATATACGGTTTTAAACAACGTTGCAACCGCCCTTGGCACTGGTAGGTAGACGCAGTATTGATTAAAACATCGCCCCAGTGTTTTCCCACAAGCTACAGTCTTGTGCTTTATCTTTTTTTCTGTGGGGCCGAGCCTCTTTTCTGTGCTTTTGTGCCATCAGGTTGTGTTTACACAATAACATCAACCAGGGAAAATCCGGAGATTGGAAAAGCTGTCTTCCAACGCAAGCAGAAAGCTCGAAAGTTATGAAAGAGTGGACAGACAACTACAGACTTATACCCGGTGCTTTTCATCATGTACACAAAAACACAAAATCAGTTACAACAGAAAGCCACAGTAATCTTAGGCTCACTTGGCACGCTTGTCTTTCTGAACAGAGAAATACTACACTCCAGTCAACCTGAAGTCCTCGATCCACAGTGGCCATTACTTTTTCACATTATAGTACTGCTCGTCTGAACGCCTCCATTCAACTCATAAGATCCCAGTGTAACACCCCCGTGAGTGTAACTAAGACAAAACCAGGCTTGGAAACGAGCTGTATTGCTTCAAGAAAAGGCCGAACAGCAGCTACAGCGTGTTTTGGTGCAAACCCTATCCCTCTCAGGGCCATCCACGATTTCAATCATATTAACAATCAGCAATAGCTTCAGTACCATTCTACTTACCTTCTTTCGTTGTGAGGCGTGGAGATTGGTCTGTATGAGGTGTGTTATATGATAATGACGAGCTACCTGCAAATATAAGCAAACCAATAAGAAGATTAGCAAACCAACGAGAAGGCTTTGTCTATCACTGCTCCTTTAGTCCTTTAACTCTACAAGAGACACGCTTTTGAGTCTCTTCAAACCCAAACTCACCTTTTCTACCAGGTGTATGAACCGGTATGTTGTTAATTTTTTTCTTTAGCTTTTTAACGTACGTCTTTTGGTCTTTTTATGTACAGCGTGCTTGGATTCGGAAAAGGCTCTCCGTAAAATAAGAGTATTCATTAGTGTTGTCAGAATTGCCTGTCTGACTAGTCTACACAACACCAGTCTCTGGGTTTACGATATACTCATCATCAAAAGAACCCACTTAGAACCATAGTGGATTCATAAGCATGAAAATTACACTCTTTTTCGCTGGCTGGTGCGCCGACATTTTTATTCAACAAACAGGACACAGGTGAATCCATCATGCTGCTTAACGTTGGCCCTCCACAGGGGGGTTCTGCACGGGCAAGTGTGTGAGCCCCTTGTTGGAAGCTACGTCAGCTGTACATCTGCAGTACGCACTTTGCACCTGGCTGCAGATGCAGTCTTGTTGGATCTGGCCCCATTGCTCTTGCACAAGCCTGGGTCTGCTCACTGCTGTCTCAGCTCTGTAACGCCACAGGTCGGCCCGTTCATCCCACATATGTTCAGGCTGAACAGGCAGAGCAAGGGAGGGTTTCAGCACAAGACCCATGAGGCTGCAGTCGATCACTACAAGTGGAGTCCCGTGGCGACTAGACGCTCTTGCCCAGGCCATCAGGCTTGGGCCTCCCCATCGACAACCAGCATGTCACCCTGCATGTTTGTGCCACACTCCTTAAGGGGGTCAAACACAAAACCTTGATTCCTTGCTAATGAGGATTTTACCCGACAACCACCTAAGGTGGTCCTCCAAAACGTCAAAGGCTCAAAAGCACCGTTCTCCCCATAAGAGGGGGGGAACAGATTCCTTGCTCTCGGTTTTCCTTTTTCGATTTTCGCCAGGCTTGAACCATTTCCTTGTCTGCTCCTCAATCAATTCTCTCACGAATGAGGTGATTTACGTGTAGAGGTGATACAGCAGTCAAAGTCCCTTGAGTGTATCAATGAATTTGGAAAATTCATAAAATCAAAATAATTCCAAAAGCACGAAATCAATAGATTTGCGAATATCAATTTTCCAAACTAAAAATACACATCTCTTTCTAAAAAAATAAAGTGACAAGCTTCTTTTGATGCTCAGTATAAATGCTATGGCATCTCTTTTATTGAAGTTCCATTAAAAAAAATACACAGGCCTGAAACGATTTTGGAAAAGAAATACAAAACCAGCAAATCTGCTAGGGACAATCCACGCAAGGTTTGGTATATGATAAGTGAAGTTTGAGTTGGATATGAAGCTACTATCATCAATTCTGAAAAGGTGATTGATAGACAATGAATACTTAAGCAGTACTTCATCTTTAGCAGTAGCTGGAACAGGACTTGTAATTGGAAGATTGTTGGTTCCCAGGTGAGGAACTGCTGTTGTACCCTTCCAAAAGGTACTTCACCCAAACTGTTCCTGTAAATTACCCAGCTGCATAAATGGGTTCAAACAGAAGTCACTTTGGATGAAAGTGACAGCAAAGGGAAATTTGTATGGCTTGATCTTCCACTGAGGTGAAGAGATGTCTTCTTTTAGGATGCTATAAGTGCATAAATTAACTTGTTAGAAAACATTTTAAAGAAAGCTGGCCAGAGACTCGGGCATGTTAATATAGACTAGAGATCTGGGGGAGTGAAAATCCTTTCATGAATAAGGAACAAAGAAGAAATTTAATAGGACTTGATGGTCTTCACTGAGGCAGGATGTCTTTTGTTAGTTTGTACTGGAAAGGGTTTTCAGAAAATGTTCGTTACTGTTTGTGTTGGGGGCAGGGGGCTGTATAGTTCTGCTCTGGTTTTAAAAGCCCCCCAGAGCTCCAGCTCTCTCCCAGGCCTGGAGGTGCAGAACAGGGTAGCCATTGTGCGAGGTGCAGTCCCAGCCCAGCAATCAAACCCAGCTCTCCGCAAAATAATTCCACACTTACGCCGAGCGTGCAGGCCAGAGATACATCCTGCGGGAGGCCTTAACCCTTCGCCAGCTGCTGGGGCTCTCAGCCCAGTGCTGCTGGTTTGTGCCAAGACAGGAGCTGGGAATGAACTGGGAGCCACAACAAAAAACCAGCCTGCTGTACACTAGAAGTTTAAAGGTAACAACATGCAAGATGGCTGTCGGGCTTTTCTACAATACGCTGTGTGCATATACATGCATCTAGTACCTCAAACATTGTGTCGCAATGTATCTGCTGCCCGTGCGTTAGAAACAAATGCAAGCCACATGTAATAATAATAATAATAATTGCTTACACTTATATAGCGCTTTTCTGGACACTCCACTTAAAGTGCTTTACAGATAATGGGGATCCCCTCCACCACCACCAATGTGCGCCAGTACTCTCACCACACATCAGCTATCAGTGGGGAGGAGATCAAAGTCATGAAGCCAATTCATAGATGGGATTATTCGGAGGCCATGATTGGTAAGGGCCAATGGGAATTTTGGCCAGGTTTGGCCAAATTTGGCCATGCTTTCACATGTGACAGTGAAAGCATGAAAAATCTCTCTACTCTGGAAGGTACATTGTTGTTTTTTTCTGAAAATGCCCACTTCTGCATTTGTGAAATGACTACAAAATCAATCTCTTAGTTCAAGATATTTTCCTTGCAATAGAAGGCATAGATATTTACAAACTCCTGTGCATGCAACCTTTTTAGCTGCAAAGACGAGCCGCAGTGTTATGTCAATGTAACAATGATGCATTGCACTTGATGGCCAGAGACATCAGGCCACTCTGCAGGGCTGGAGACACTCTGATCCAGGCCTGCAGCTCAGTCACAGACCTAAAGAGGACTGCTGTGACCCACTGACCTGCTCTACCACCAAAAGACATTGGCAGGCAGCCCATCCCACTAGCTCTACGCTGTAGTATTAAACTGGCAATGCAAATGACTAATGCACAGACTTAAATAAGAGAGGAGCACTCCAGACGCTTTCCAACAATATTGAACACAGACGTTTACGGTCTGGGCAAACCATTTAAAAGCTAAGAGTGCCGCAGTTTAGGGAAACAGTTAACAGCTGGAACTGCTTCTTTTTGAGAGCATTTTCTCATAGATCAATATAAAATCAAGTCAGGGCAGGGCTTCACAAAAGAGCATTTAATCGGTACATTTGCTATTAGTGCGCAACAGTTCTTAATGCAGCCTTTTGAAAGATAGCTGAATGAAAATTAAAAAACAAAATTACACCTGTCGAGAAACAAAAAGCAACTGGACAGCACATCTGCCTTTTTGCATGCATCACGTAAAGGCTTGATACACAACAAAGCAGTGCTCAGTGGATGTCAGTACTGAGCACACTGATGGCTATAATCATGGCACTGATGGAGCCAGGAGCCTTCAGCCTGTGCCCTTCAGTGCAGCCCTCCAGCTTTTCTGCAATCGAGCAAACATCTGCAGCTCCACACCACCGCAGCATGAAGGCACATATGGCATCAAACTGATAAACTGGGCCCTGATAAGGAAAACAACGCTCAAACTCTTAAGTGACAGACTAATTTGAAGTAACGGTGCAAATTGCACGCAAATTGAAAGCAGGTTTGGGAAAAGATAGGGATCTTTCTGAGCATTTGTGTAAGTGATCGACATTCGACTGAAAATAGAACAGGGATAATCATTCTGACCTGCATAAACCTGCATAAACCCTGCGTCGAGAAACAGCCTTTAATCCATAAAGTGATACCGGGGATATGTTTCCTAGATAATTGTTTAGCCTTTATTAAAAATCGATATTTAAGTTGCTATAACATGCATTATATAGCTTTGCCCAGCACTGAGATACCTGCACAGTTCTGTAGTACATTGGCTAACGGCACCAAAGAATTTTAAGCAGAGTCACAACATGCAGAGCAATTCCAAAGGAAAGTATGAAGGACACTTATTTGTACAAACTTCAGGGAATTATCGCAGCACAAATACAGCAGTCTGTCAGCCAGAGAGACCGTGTGATGGACGCCACAAGCCTTGTAATCACTAAATACTTCCAGGGTCTGGTCTCCAGTGTTTGGTTTTGTTTTTCAATGGGAAGCTTAGAGTCAGTGCAGCCCACATGACAAAAGGCAGATTCCTTGACTCAGAGATTTTTTTTTTTCCTTCTCTTGGCAGCTCGCGATTGTGTTTGTTTTCGTTACAGGGGGAAATGGACTTCAGCTTCCCAGCTCCGACCCCGCAGCTCCGCGCTCCGAGGTTTCGGAGAGCCCTAGCTCCTTCCCCGGGTGCTGAGATCAGGGAAGGGAACTGTCAGTCTCTGAGACTGAAGCCTGCTGCCTCCGAAGTCGTATGCCTTCCGTAAGGAAGAGGTTGTGAGGAAAAAGGCAATTTTGCATGTCGGAGTAAAGAATTAAAATTAAATTAAAAATAAATAATCCTTACACTTAGACAGTGCTTTTCTGCACACTCCACTCCAAACACTTTATAGGTAATGGGGATCTCCTTCTCCACCATTAATGTGCAGCCCCACCTGGATCATGCACCAGTACGCTCACCACACACCAGCTCTCAGTGGGGAGGAGAAGTGATGAAGCCAGTTCAAAGATGAGGATTATTAGGAGGCCATGACTGGTAAGGTCCAGGGGGACATTCGGCCAGGACACCAGAGTTAAAACGCCTGCCTACTCGTTTCGAGAAACGCCGTGGGAATTTGAATGACTTTCTGCTTTTTAATTAAAACTTTCTTCTTTCTCAAATATGTCACACCAACATCACAGGCATGGCCTACAAAAACTCCACCCTATTGTATTAAACTTGTGCTGGCTATTAGAACAGCACTACCAACATGAAAAAAAACTGTCTTCCCTTTAAATGTGAGCTACAATAGCAGAGCATCCTGGTAACCATAGCTGCAAATTGGCGTCAATTAAGCCAATGGACCTTTTGTACATGTAGAAAGACATATGCTACACCACCCTTTCCCAAAACTGCACTCAACGCCTAGAACAAATCACTGCCTTCAAGATATGCAGGAGGCCAGGCTGGGGAAGGCACTTACTTTCCCTGAGGTAATTCAGATGCGAGAGCAGGACTTCTGCGTTGTACACGGAGGTGAGTCTCAGAAAGTCCTCCTTGCTCATTTTGCAGAGCTCCTTCCCGTCCGTGCTCTGAAAAAGGGACGTGTCGATCTCCAGCAGTCCGTACTCCTTGATGGCCCACTCCAGCCACTGCCTGACATGGTCCTGTGACCACAAAGAGGGATCTGCAGGACAGGCACAGAAAACAGCTGTTGCAACAGGAGAAGCCCTCAAAATACATCTGCTGCTGAGTCTTACCTCTCCATAGCTTGATATGCGGAAAGTTCCATTGTTCTGGGGCACGTAAATTGATCATTTTTTCTGCGCTGATCTGATGTTTTGTCATTTGAACTGTTCTCTACTAAGTTTTTTGTGCATATTAAAAATCTCTCTATTTTTACTACTAACAACTACTAATAAGACCAATTGCTGTTCATTCAAAAGAATCCCAAAGCACTTTACATGAGGAAAGGGACCCATTTCATCCAGCACTGCAATGTACATTCGGGTTGTGCAAGACTGATCTATTTATCGATCAGCTGAAGCACAGACGGGGAATGGAAGTTCATCACCTTCGGTGTGCTGACACTGACTGACTTTACTAAACATTCGAGCTTCAGAAAAATTCAAGATGATGACCGAGAGCCCTCATCAATTGAACACAAGAGTTGACACATCACTTTATTATGTCTCTACCGCCAGAAACATTCGCTGTGGCCTGTTGTCATTCCGTAAAGGGACTGCTCACGGCAGCACGTGCAAGGCACAGAATTAAATCCACTGCACGTTCAGGGGAATCGAGACAATCAGAAAGGCTCTAACTGTGTTCAGAAGCTTTTAAAGGGTCTCCGAGCGACGCTGTACTGAGACCGACTCAAGAAGGTTTAGGTGCGGTCTTACCGGCAGGGACGATAACTCTCCTCTCGTTTGTGGTCATATTGGGGGGGGGTGGTCCATTTTTTTCATCCATGTAACTTCCGTAATTGATCTGAGTCGCTTCTGCCCCTCCAACCAGCTTGCCGCACTTTCCAACACTGCAGTCTACCGGAGACTCCCTGCTGACAGGTAAGAACAGCGCTCTGTCAAGCGGAGCTGGGACAGCAGAGCCGCTGTCAGGGGGACAACACGGAGGGCGAGTGTCTGACCCAGCCAAAGAACGAGACAGAGGAGGAATGGAATGTCAGAAACATCCCGGAGGCATCTAATCAGCATTTTTAATGAAGTACAGCAACAATTTAGTTACCAATTCAGGGCGCATACGCATCCCCAGCAACAAAGGCACAGCAGAACCTTAGCTGCAGTCACAGAATCCAAGGGAATTCAATATGTGTGTCCAAAGCAGAGCTGATAGCGGGAGAAGACCAGGAACAGGGAAGAGGTAATAAAACAGGTGTGAGAGTGCAGGGAGGAGATGCGTTCAGCCGGGGGGGGGGGTCGGGCAGCCTGCGCCGGGACACCCCGACGTGACCCACACTCAAGCAAAGGTCTGTCGGTCAATTGTGAGACCACGCCAACACAGCCCGCTCTTCAGAAAAGACCGGGCAAGTGCAGCCAGCCCGACAGAGCCCTGCATCTTCTGATCTTTGTCCCCACCTGAGCGTTCAGTTAAACGATTCACCTAATTGTTTCCTTACCTTAACATATAGAGGATTTTTCTTAGTGTCTTACAGTGGTTTACACACAACATGGCCAGCATTCAAACTACAGCACCTCGGAGAAGTCTTATAAGACTAGCTGGAAGACACCTGGTAAGAATGCGAGTCAATAACATAATCAGCTTAACAAACAGCTGCTTGGCCCCTCAAAAAATCAGAGGACAATAGTGAGGGAGCGGACATGAGCTCTGAGACCCCTGCCCTGCTGTCAGAGTTGGAGTCGGAAAAGCTTCTGAAGAAGAAGGGCTCGTACCGTCGGGCATGGCTGGGTTACTGCACCTGGGACACGTTTACGGCCAATTCACTCACCTGCGGAGGACTGAGAGACGAGCAAGGAGAGAAGGGAACAAAGGGCTGGCTAATAAGGACACTGTTTTCCCAAAGCGCATCCACCATAACCCCATGTTCTAATGTAAATATATATGTGCACACTCAATATGATAGATACTGTATATACTTAATATACTGTGTACACAGATTGCACCATATCTGTGCAATGTTAATGGCGACCTTAGTGCTGCCACTACAATCTCTTCTAAAGAAGAGGAAGGGTGACTCTCACATGCATGACACAAAGCAAGGAAGCAGAGTGCGTCGGTCGGGGATCGCGGACCCCCGTTGCTGGACGCCAGAGCGCTACCTGGAGCCGTTGAGGTGGTCGTACTCCCTCTTGACATTGACGCGGTTGATCCAGTCCTGCTGCGGGGTCAAGGGGTTGATCTTGTGGGGCGGCCCGTAGTCCTGCGTCCCCGAGGCGGTCATGTCAGGCTTGGGCAGCGGGACGGCGGCGTAGGGCGGCTCGAACAGGGACTGGTCGTCACTCACCACCGACAGTGCCTCCTGCGGGCGAAGCACGAGGGGGCACTAAAACACACAGCAGAGCGGGCAGGAGGGCGACCGGGGGCCGTACGGCCGAGCAAGGGGATCGGCTTGTTCCACGCTCCTGCACCCCTTTGGCTAAAGAGGTGCCTGCTGTTCTGGGTCTTAAATGCACTTGCACTCATCTGACAAAACTTTGCAAATCATTTCTATGGATGAAAAGAGACTGGACAGAATATACAGGACTTGCTCCAGGGGTTCAGTTCCATAAGATCTTATTTTGTGCTCCTGCTGGAGATCAGAGAAGTTGAATTACCTCCAAACTGCGAAGTTCTCAGCTTGTATTCAGACAGAGTTTAGAGAGACGAATAACACCTTCGATAACAGCTAACCCTAATGCTCTCCGCAACAGGGATGATATTGTCATCAAACCAGCGGACAGAGGAGGAGCTGCTGTGGTGTGGCCAAAAGACCTGGACATTAAGGAAGCCTCCACACAATTAGGAAGTGGTATCCACTATCTCCCTTCTTATCAGCAACCAGGAGCTCCCCCAGGAGGCCAACCGGCTCATCGTCGAACATCCCCAGGTATCCCAATTCTATCTCCTTCCCAAAATCCACAAACCCGACACCCCTGGACGCCCCCTTGTCTCAGCATGCAATTGTCCGACCACACTCATCTCTGCTTCACCCGAAGAAGGCTTCACAGCCGAAACGTTTTCGCTCTTCTCTTTTCAGCATGGAATGAACCTATTACTTGTTCCTTTAACACCTTCAATGCTTAGTAGGAGAAGAAAAGAAACACAACGTTTCGACTGTGGAGCCTTATTTGGGTATGACACCTGAAGAAGGCTCCACAGCCTAAAACGTTGTGTTTCTTTTCTTCACTTTTCAGCATGGAATAAACCTTTACTTGTTCCTATGCAGCCTACGCATGCTGAAGCAGCTACCTACTTGAACTACTTCAATGCTTAGCAGTTCATTAATAAAGCCTAGACAAAACAAATATTCTATTCTCAACCGGGAATTACAAAGGATGGCGATTTTGATCATTAATTAAAGGGTAATTTTTAAACAGATTTAAGGTCAAGATGAAATTCAAATACAAACTGGAAGTGATCATCGGGCATCGATGGGGGCTCCTGACAATTTTATTTTCAATCCTTTAAATCCCCGATCAATTAAACTTCTGTCAAAACTACAGCTTACAAAAGGCTCTGAACACATTCTGTTCATGTCAAGATAAACCATTGCATTGCTGTCTGGAATTCCCCACACAACTGTGGTATTCACCAAAATAATTTCACACAACGTTCAGCTTATTTTACACAAGTAGTCTTAAAAGACAAGCTGGGACACAAGCATGTTAAATTAGTGAAACACATATTTAAAACAGCTCCTGATTTCCTCAAATTCAAAGTCCTTACTTGATTGAAGACTTAGGGCATACAAACCTTCTTCTTCTTCTAAAAAAATCATCTACAACACTTAACTACTGATACTTGACATTGAACACCTTTACTTCTTTACTTCTTCAATAATCCTGCCCTTATTATTGGTGTTCACAGTTAATGTGAATTTGTACTTCAAATACAAATACAAAAACTTGTCTTTGGTCTTTTTTCGACTTGGAGTTTCTAAGACTACCAAGCGCTGATGTGGCAAGCACAATAAGTCAACATCCTCACATTGTTTCGTGACAAAAAGAGAAGAAGGTTTCGACAAGAAACTTGGGCTCTTTGTGCAGTTTTGTGACGAGATAGGTATAATAAGGAAGATGCTCAGCTCTCGCTTCTAAGACAGTGGCAGAATATACAGCTTCTCTCAGAACGTGGAAAGTGTAGCCTAAATAAAGCTCAATGCCTTTCTAGGACAGTGACCTCTTCTCTCTGTAATAAGGTACTGTCAACAGGAACTACATGAGCATACATAAGACTTTAACGAATAAGTATAAAAGCTATTTATTAGGTTGTTGGCATGAAATATATATATGTTGTTTGTTTAGTTTATTAGGAAGCTAAGCCATTGAAAATGAGCGTTTTCACCCAAGATAGAGCCCTCACCTGGTACTTGAAGAACCAGGAGTTTCAATGATCCACAACTGTCTTAAAATGGAAAATACTCCCTGAGAAGCCTACAACCTTTAAGACACTCATATTCTCTTGACAATCAGCTCTCTGTTGTGTGCTCAAAGGTTTCTAAAACTGTAACGACTCCGCATGCGCTCTGTGGTTTAGAATATAACCTGTTATTAATGGTCAGGATCATTAAGGAAAACTTTAATTTGGTTCCTTCCAATCTCACAGTGCTGTCCAGAGCACAGTCTAAGTTTCTCTGACTTCACTCTTTGGATATCAAGGCAAGGGGGGAAAAAAATGTGTTGGCCACTTCTACACCGAGCAGAAATCAGAAGAATGCCTCTTAAATACAATTTCCAACTTTTTCAGTCTCCAGTTTTGATGGGAAAGAGAGTTTCTCTTGGAGCATTTCACATTGTGTTTCACCCTGCTTGGGACTCCAAACACATTTTTTTTCTGTCGTAAACTTGAACAAAATAAGAGCCAAATCGTAGGGCAAAACAGTCAAAAGTGACTGAGTGAGTGATGCTAAACTCTAACACACACCACAGCCACAGTTGAGACATTGGGCTGCAATGAGTCAGTTTCGTTTTCCTGACATCTCGTTTCTGAGAATTTGTTTTAATGGGGTGTGATTCTCATTATTATCACTACAATAACAAAAGGGAGAGCTGAACAAACTGCTCCGTTTTTGAAGCTGAAGGAAAAAAAGGAGGGAAAACTAGCAGCCTCCGGTCTTCTTTAAGAGCGAAGGCAGTGGGTCATGGAAAACGGGGGAGAGGACATCAGCAGGACCCCTTCAGACGTCTTCTTTTTCAGGGCACGCTTGTGGACAGACATTTGATTGATTAGATGAGAGCCAGGCCGGTTCTGCCAGAACATTGGGGCTTCTCCTCACTATCTCCGAGATCCATGCCAACTGGCTGGCCATTGATAACCACGAAGCAGCAAAGGAATGTCTCAAGACCGCCAGATAAGCACAGCCCCGCGCCTGCGACTGTTGCACGTTGAGCCCATTGTGACATATCAGCTCCAACCACATAATTTATGATTGGCAAGTTGCACGCCTTCCAAAGATTATAGCAAGTTTTAAAAATAGGACCGTCTGCCTTGAAGGGAGTCTAAAGTCTGGTTGTGTATGAAGACGTACGCTTACAGCATTTTTTCCACGGTAACTTTTTGACAACGATATTGGACTGCAATGCCAATATAGAAACATTCCGGCGTTATTAAACTTATTATTCACGCGTCCTGCTCTCCCCCCCCCCCAGTCAATAGGTCTCTTTTTCACTTTCGACAGGTACTTTTGATGTTCCCGTCACAGATTCGCAAATGCGTCTCGAATTGGGGTTGAGGGCGCGGGAATGTAAAAGCAGCGGTAACAGCAATGTGAGGAGCTCAGCTGTGTCTCTGCTTGTATCGGGACTCCAGTGGGGTCTGGGTGACAGTTTTCTGTGGTTTGCCTCCAACCTCACACCGCCAAGTGCTGGAGACAGACACAGCAGCAGCCGCCGGTGACAAATAACGACACCGAGTCGGGGCCTATCGCGACTGCGGCGCAAATCTAGTCGGACCGGGTCGGATTCCCGTGCAAGGCTTCGGCATACGACGTCTCACGTTTACCGGAAACCCCCCCCCAAAAAAACTTACTTTACTTTACACGCCCAGCTCACAATTACGCAGAGAGGGAGGTGTGTGCGTGTGGGAAGGGGAGCTGTAGCCTTTGTTTCACAGAGGGCAGGAAAACCGGTGAGGAAACCAGATTGTGTTGAACAGGAAGCCTAACTCGACTTGATAAAACCACCCAGATGAGCAAGCTTGGATACAGTTACTAGTCAATCAAGAGCGGAGCTATTCGGTGTTACTGCAACATGAAAGACTTCTAGGCAACGTGCCAAGGAATCGATAAAATTTTATGCGTATACTTCTGTTGGCGGATGTAAATTGTCTTACGCAACCGCGAGGTACTAGAAAAGATGAAGTACGATTCGTGCCGGTAGCGTTCCCATATACAGGGTATGCATGACCTTTGGATATTTTCCTGAATAATAACAATAAATATCACCGGTGGAAAGCTGTGTACATCATAAATAAATACTGAATCAGCAAAATCCATAAATTATTTTCGATTGCTTTTGATCCTAAATGATTTTTAACAACCAGGTTATGTACTTGAAATTTAAGAGAAACGGATATGTGATGGGTTTGTTTTCAAACAAGATGAATGTTGAAGACTGAAGCGTAGCCATAAAGCAATAACGTGATACTAATGTATAGCCTGGTACGAATGTATTTAATTCTGGCTATATGCATCTCAAAGCCGCTTTGTCATTGCCAGACTGTAGCTAATAGGCCCACACCGCTCCAAAACATCAAAAACTCGTTCCACTTATGAGTTGCAGTGCTTCGCTTAGTGGATACAGCCCCGTTGTGCGGCTTCTTACTTCGTTAAATAACGTCAGCTTGACGTTATTTGCTTTTAATAACGATACAGAGGGGCCTGGAAAAACTTGTAAAATACATTTCAGGGTTGCCAAAAAGGAAAACAGAAAAACGTTCGTTTTGAAAACCCACCAACGCCTGCACTTTATGCGTATTTATTATTATTATTATCATCATCATCATCATCATATTGATATTAATATTATTATTACTACTACTACTACTACTACTACTACTAGAAATCTTCGACGGCCTCTTTGTAGTGTTCTTTCTTTCCGGTCAATACTGACCACTTGCTGATTTTCGCCTGTTGCGCACTTGGCAATCAGAGCCGCAAGCACAGCCTTCACTGAGACGGATTTCATCAGCAGCTCTGTGCTCGCTGCTGCCCGGCCGGCCGGCGCTCCCAGACCCCGCAACCACACCACACCCTAGCCCGCCGCGACACTCCTCGACCGCTCTCAAACACACAGGGCTGTCCTTTTTTCACCCGGGCACCGA